GTGAGGGTAACCCTCATGAGATTAACCCTCGTAACCCTCACGAGGGTTACGAGGGTTGCGGTTACGCCGACGCCGACGGCGACGCCGACGCCGCTCAAGCGGGGAACGGGCCCCTAAGAGCTGCGCTCTAAAAACACCCTGTATATACAAACGCTTTGCAGCAGCAGTGCATGGGCGCCGCCATAACCGCCCTTCAGTTCTTGTTTCCTCTTATTACATTTACTTCGCTTCATCGTTACCACAGCGGGGCAGGTTATTGCCATTTTAGGTTCTACTGTGCCCTTCTCCACATCATTAGCCTTTCTGGAGGCTTGTCAACGCCCGCTTTAGTGGCTCGCTATCTGGGAAAGACAAGAGAAGGTCAGCAATGGCGGCTGTAATTTGGCGCGTGTGTAAAGCGTCTATATGTACAGGGTGCGGCCGTAAAAACTTTCACATTTGGTACGCCTAGCAAAAATCGAATTTCAAACATACATGCTTGAAATTGGGCACACGAACGTCATTTATTCCAAAGTTTTTTGCTTATTTTTTTTCAGACGTCAACTCTGGAGTAGCGAATTAATAGAAAGATAACAAGAATGGCAGACGTGCATTTCCTATGGCCTATACCCGCCCGTTCGCCGTCTGCTATCTGGTTTCGCGACGTCGCTAACAGGTGGCGCACTGAACGCAAAAACGGCTCTGAAGAACGCGGGAAACTCCGCACGAAAGGCTGGTGTCGGGCGAGATAATCGCGATAAAAAGTGATTTGAACGAAATATATGAACGATTGTTGAAATTACCTGTTTCAAGTAAAGTTCTGACAGATCGTCATGCAAGGAAGGAGACACCATAATGCGACGAGATAATTTAATTTACAGCTGCTCGTCTTGTTGACAGTTGCGGGTCGCTTTCGAAGACAGCAAGCACCGCTTAAATGAGCTCCTCATTTTTCAGCAGGCTCTCACGTTCACTGACTGGATACTTCTTTTTAAAGTCTTCTCCACTCACAAAACGATCCGCCCAACTCAAAACAGTCGGGCGTGAAGGCGGGCGTTTATGAAATGCAGTGCGAAGTTTTCGTGGTACTGTGGCCACCGAGTTCCGCTCCACGTACCACTTGACTGCCTGGGCACACTCACTTGCCAAGTATTGTGGCATCGCTGCAGTTATTATCAAAATATTTTGATAATAACTGCAGAAGATAGTGCAACCGTCAACCGTCAACAGATAAGCAGACGACAAAGGAAGACACACGTTCGACTGCTTTAAAACATATTTTAATTAAACGAGGGCGTCCGCCAGTTTCTAAATTTCGAGTAAAAGGGCATAATTGTTCACATATTTCGGTAAAATCACTTTTTATCGCGATTATCTCGCCCGACACCAGCCTTTCGTGCGGCGTTTCCCGCGTTTTTGCGTTCAGTGCGCCATCTGGGAGCGGCGTCGCGAATTAGATAGCAGACGGCGAACGGGCGGGTATAGGCCATAGGAAATGCACGTCTGCCATTTTTTTTATCTTTCTAATAATTCGCTACACTAGAGTTGACGTCTAAAAAAAATAGGCAAAGAACTTTGGAATAAACGACGTTCGAGTGCCCAATTTCAGGTATGTACGTTTGAAATTCGTTTTCTGCTAGGCGTGCCAAATGTGAAAGTTTTTACGGCCGCACCCTGTATATGTACAGGGTGCGGCCGTAAAAACTTTCACATTTGGTACGCCTAGCAAAAATCGAATTTCAAACGCACATACCTGAAATCGGGCACACGAACGTCGTTTATTCCAAAGTTTTTTGCCTATTTTGTTCAGACATCAACTCGTGAGTAGCGAATTATTAGAAGGATAACAAAAATGGCAGACGTGCATTTCCTATGGCCTATACCCGCCCGTTCGCGGTCTGCTATCTGGTTCGCGGCGCCGCCCCCAGGGGGTGCACTGAACGCAAATACGTGGAAAACGCCGCACGAAAGGCTGTCGTCGGGCGAGATAATCGCGATAAAAAGTGATTTTACCGAAATATGTGAACAATTATGCCCTTTTACTCGAAATTTAAAAACTGGCGGACGCCCTCGTTTAATAAAAATATCTTCTAAAGCAGACGAACGTGTCCCTTTCTTTGTCGTCTGCTTATCTGTTGGCGGGTCCGTTCCCGGTGAAAGCTCAACTTTGGAATCAAGAGTGACGCTGCTGAGGCCTCTTGATTGTTCCTATTTATTGTTTTTGTTGCACTATCTTCTGCAGTTATTATCAAAATATTTTCCGCGCCCCCCTGCGATGCCGCGATACTCGGCAAGTGAGTGTGCCCAGGCAGTCAAGTGGTACGTGGAGCGGAACTCGGTGGCCACAGCACAACGAAAATTTCGCACTACATTTCATAAACGCCCGCCTTCACGCCCAACTATTTTGACTTGGGCGGATCGTTTTGTGAGTGGAGGAGACTTTAAAAAGAAGAATCCAGTCAGTGAACGTGAGAGCCTGCTGAAAAATGAGAAGCTCATTGAAGCGGTGCTTGCTGTCTTCGAGAGCGACCCGCAATTGTCAACAAGACTAGCAGCCAGGTTGTTCGGAATTTCAGAAAAAAGCGTACGACGGATTCTGCGGAAAAATAATTTGCGCTTCTACAAGATGCAAGTTGTCCAAGCCCTGCACGACGGCGACAACGTCCGACGTTTAGAATTTTGCAAGACGGAGTTGTTGCGAATTAAGAGCCACCCGGGGTACCTGCAATTTCTTTTATTTAGTGACGAAGCAAACCTTCACCTAGATGGACGTGTGAACCGCCAGAACAGCAGGATATGGGCTCGCGATAACCCTCATGCCGTGGACGAACGGCATCTCCATTCACCGAAGGTGACAGTGTGGAGTGGGATTTGGCGTGGAAAGGCACAGTGGGCCCCTTTTGTTTTCGGTGGCACCGTTAACGCAGATGCCTACTTGGACATGCTGAAAACGGGAATTCTCCCTGAGCTTGAAAGGTACCACATGACAAAGAGAAACTGTATATTCATGCAGGATGGGGCGGCTTCCCATTACGCAAAGAGCGTGAGGGTATGGCTCAATAAGACGTTCCCTCGGCGGTGGATGGGTCGGGGATCAGATTATATGGACTGGCCTCCACGATCCCCGACTTAAATATGTGCGACTTTTTCGTAGGGGGATTTATAAAATAACTTGTCTACAAGAAGAGGATCCCCCATCGAAGAGCTGAAAGAAAAAATTGAGGGCGCGTTCCTCGAGATCGACGATGGGATGCGCGAAATGGCTTTCCTGGCGTACGAAGCTCGACTTCGGCTTTGCGTGTCTGTAAAAGGCGGGCACATCGAATCGGCCGAACCCTAGTCGTTTAAAGGGCCGCTGCAGCATCAACATTATTTCAAATCGCCGTGACAGAAGAGGCGTATCAGAAGATGAATTTTTCAAGAATAAACATATTGAATGAACGCACAACTTCCACTTCCTGACGGAATTTAAACTATGAGTTTCCCTCTTACTTTCTCTCGTGCTGCTTGCCGGACGCGGAGAGCAAAGTAGAGGCTGCTGATAGAGGTACCAATGGCAAACCAGCAAAAAGACGACTATCTCTGTCAAATACCAGCCATTTTATCACCGGCCCACCGAAATGACTCCAGCGCCGTTAATATTGCTCCAATTAATATGATTTCTCTTCCTTTTTTTTTTTACAAATACGTCTTGCGACATGTGTGTTAATTATACCCAAGCTGTATGAAAAAAAATTACTTACATGTGTTACAGCGGCCCTGTAAAAATCAGAATGAAATGATAAATCAAAACGAACTTGTCTGCAACGGCAGCAGCACCACTTGCTATTTCAGGCTGTAAATAAATGATCTCGTCACATCATGGTGCCTTCTTGCCTGCATGACGATCTGTCAAAACTTAACTTGAAACACGTAATTTCAACAATCGTTCATATATTTCTTTCAAATCACTTTTTATAGCGATTATTTCGCCCAACACCAGCCTTTCGTGCGGCGTTTCCCGCGTTTTTGCGTTCAGTGCGCCACCTGGGAGCGGCGTTGCGAACCAGATAGCAGACTGCGAACGGGCGGGTATAGGCCATAGGAAATGCACGTCTGCCATTTTTGTTATCTTTCTAATAATTCGCTACTCCTGAGTTCACGTCTAAAAAAAATAGGCAAAAAACTTTGGAATAAACGACGTTCGCGTGCCCAATTTCAGGTATGTACGTTTGAAATTCGATTTTTGCTAGGCGTGCCAAATCTGAAAGTTTTTACGGCCGCACCCTGTATATATAACTGAGAAGAAAAGAAATCCCTTGTTGAAAACAGCAGAAACTGGCGGTTTATTCTTCGACGTTTTGGCCGTAGTACGGCCTTCGTCAGGAAGAACTTTTACAATTCCTCCTGACGAAGGTCGGACTCCGGCCAAAACGTTGAAGATTAAACCATCCGTTGTTGCTGTTTTCACCAAGGGTTTTCTTTTTTTTTTTCTCGGTTATATACTTACGCCTTCGGCCTTCGCCACCATGTCGGTTACACACATTTATATACATATATATATATATATTGTGGGTATCGAAAAGAAGAAGAATAAAGATGCCTCGTGAGGCAGACCGAACTAGCTCGCGCTCAGGACGAGCGCGGGGTAGAACGGGCGTAGACACCAGTGAAGCGGCTGTCTTTTCTTCAGTCTCCACATTGGCGCCACAGCGTGGGGCCCGAACCCAGATTCCCGTACAGTCAGGTACGTTTAGCAGGCCTTCGCAGTCGCTGCGCCTATACAGACATTGGATTACTTCACCGCCGAGCTTGTTATAGTGACCGTTAAAATGTCAACTTCGCCCCCGCTTACGCGATCCCGTAGCCGCCCCAATGCAGCGAACACAGCTCGTGCTACCGCGACTGGTGATGGAGCGGAGGACTTGCGACCGGGCTCTGATATACCCACAGCAGACTTGGAGGTTCCATTGCCCGCTGAGAGCCTTTCCCCACCGGTGCCGCTTGCACCTCTCACCGCGTTGGGCCCATTGCCAGAACAAATGGCATTGTTCCTGGCGGAGATGTCGCGGCTCCTGCAGGAACAACGCCGTCCGCTACCACCCTTAGTTCCAACACCTCGGACGGGGACATTGCGTTTACATGCCGAGATTCCGAAATATTCAGGCTACGCAGATAGAAAATCGGTTGCTGATTTTCTTGACGAATTGCGTGAATACCAGGCGGTGTCTGAAATGTCTGAGGTTGAACTTCTATCACGCGTACTGCCGATCGCCCTCACGGGAAGCGCCGCGACATGGCGTCGGAGACAATCACCCTTCTCGACGCTACAAGACTTTTCGGAGCAGTTCAAAAATGAATTTCTGCCTCCCGATTACGGCGCGCGAATGCTCGATGAGCTTAGGGCGCGCACTCAGCACCGCGACGAGTCCCTAGTCGAGTTTGTTCGGGCGCTCCAAACTCTCTATGACAGGGCTGACCCTAGTGCGTCCGACTCAGACAAAGTGTCGCGGGCTATCCGGCAAAGCCACCCGCAGTTTCATCCCTACCTGCGTGGGCGGGTGTTCCGGAGTTTGGACGAGTTGGCCCAAGCAGCCCACCAGATCCAGGCGGACATCCTGGCCGAACTAAGATATCGGCCTCCTCCACCGCCGGAGGCTTGCCTGGAACCGTCCTGCGCTTGGACAGGCACGACCAGGCAATCCATGGACGAGCATGGGTCACGGCCAGTTCTCCCCGGAAGGGTACCCCGAGCGCTGGACCCTTACACCCACGGACTGGGCGATGGTGCTCAAGTCCGCGAGCATGGCCGCCAATACCAAGCCCCATCCAGAGAGCGATACCCAAGGGCCACCTCAGCTACTCTCCGCTGCTTCCGGTGCGGAAGTCTCGGCCACTTTCGCCGGGACTGCACCCGGCGGGTTTCAAACGACAATTCGGGAAACGAGGTAGGCCGCCGATAGCAGGGCCCTGTCTGTCGGTGGCTTCTCCTTGTTACAGGCCCTCGGTCACCCCACCGTCTCGGTTCTTCAGCAGTCTCGGCCCAGCCTCACCAGCAGCCCCGCCGGGGGCCTCCTGTGATGAGCCCGATGTTGCAGCACCTGGTGTGGCGCCCGCTCGAGCGCCCGATGACGCTCCCGCTCCCGGATTACGCGGCAACGTTCTCGCAGGCGCTCGCGGAGATGCCCCAGGTCCCGGCGTGGCGCCCGCTCGAGCGCCCGATGACGCTCCCGCTCACGGATTATGCGGTGACGCTCTCGGCGGCGCTCGCGGAGATGCCTCCGGTAGTACCAGCGCCGGTGCTTTCCCCGAGGCTTCCCACGGAGCGGTTCTCGGTGGCGTCCTGGTCCCCGACGAGACAACTCCGGAGAACAGACGTGACGACAACGGCTGCTCGCAGGAAGTGGCAGCGGCGTGGCCGCCCGTCGTCCACCCACATGCCAGAAAAATGGCTGATGCGACCACACCAGCGCGGCCTTCTGGAAAACCCGTAAACAAGTGTATGGCCCGTGCGGTCCAACCGGAACCCCGTGCCCACTACCGAACGGTGACCTGGGCGGGTCTACGAGACGTGACAATCCTCAGCATTTCATTGATCATGGGAATCCTAGCGACCATGGTGTCATGGGTGAGTCGGCTGAAAGTCTATGACAAGCTACTTCGAATTTATAGGTTCCGTCCAGTCACGTACTTTATACCATCCCTTGACGCTATGCGTCACGAAAGTAGAGGTATAACAGAACCCTACATTGTGGTTAACATTGCCGGTCAACAGATCGCAGCTCTCTTGGATACCGGAGCTGCAATTTCACTTTTTGGAGACTTCGTTAGAAAATTGTGCAAAGACCGGAACATCTCAATGCGGCGTTCTCAGAGAGAGCTCCGTACGGCATCTGACCAACTTATCTCCGTCACTGAAGGAGCTCGACTGAAGCTGAGCTTTGATGGGCGACAATGTCGACAACATTTCACATATCTGCCGGGTCTCGCCTGCCCTATTCTTCTCGGTCGAGATTTCATCTCCAGGGAAAAAATAGTCCTAGATTTGTCAGCAGAAGAATATCGATATGGCTCGCAGTCCGCTACTTTCAAGTTTGCAGTCAGACCAATGCCTACGGCAGCTCGTCCTCTAGAGGGTACAATATGTGAGAGATTCCCCTCCTCGGGGTATCTGCACGTGGCAATGAAGTCATTTTCTGGCACCGACTCGGACCGTTCACGTATAGCAAAGCTTTTGGAGAATTTCTCACATATGTTTACAGAAACACCTGGGAGGACTAACATCCTCAAACACCGAATTGATACTGGAGACACTCCGCCTATCCGATTTAACGCGCGGCCCCTAAGTGTTCACAAACGCACACTCCTTGACGGAGCACTGAATGAGATGATTCGGACCGGAGCCGTCCGTCCCTCGAAAAGTCCATGGGCTTTTCCGGTTGTGTTAGCACCCAAGAAGGATGGCACCGCACGCCTCTGCGTAGATTACCGTCCTCTGAACGCGGTCACGAAGCGAGATGCATACCCCTTTCCATCAGTCTCGTCTGTTTTATATGCACTGGGGTCTGCACGGATATTCACAACCCTCGACTGTAGTAGGGGATTTTTGCAAATTCCCGTAGCAACAGATGACGTCCCTAAAACAGCATTTGTTTGCCCCAGGGGTCTGTTCGAATTTGTCCGACTCCCCTTCGGCCTATCTAACTCCCCTGCGAGCTTCCAGAGGCTCATGGATACAGTCTTGGGTGATGCAAAGTTTAACTATGCAATGGCCTACATGGACGACGTAGTAGTGTTTTCTAGTACTATCGAGGACCACCTTCACCATTTACAGGTCGTCCTGAAGCGCATGAGTGAAGCTGGTCTCACGATTAACCCTTCAAAAGTGCAACTTGCATCACCCAAAGTGGAGCTTCTTGGCTTCGTGGTCGACCAAGGATCGCTCCAGCCGCAAGCAGAGAAGCTCAGAGCAATTATAGAATTTCCCCAGCCACGAGACAAAAAAAGTTTACAACGGTACCTTGGCATGGTGGGATTCTACCGCGAGTTTATTGCCAACTGCGCTGATTTGGCCCGGCCCCTTCACCAGCTATTACGCCGGGAAGTTCCATGGACCTGGACTTCCGCTCAGGAACAAGCGTTTAAAGCGTTAGCAAATGCTATTGCGGATACTGCGTCTCTGAGACTTCCTAATCTCAATGCTCCATTCGTCCTCCAAACGGATGCCAGTGATTACGGTATAGGTGCAGTATTACTCCAAGAACATAACGCAGCGTTGCGGCCCGTTGCATTCGCGAGTCATACTCTCACCGCGGCCGAATGTAACTATACGGTAACCGAAAAAGAATGTCTAGCTATAATATTCGCTTTGCGAAAGTTTGACATGTACCTAGATGGAGCGACCTTCACCATCCAGACTGACCATCAAGCATTAACATGGCTGAAAAACCTTAAACACCCCGCTGGACGCCTTGCCCGCTGGGCTCTGGCTTTACAGAAATATGATTTTTCCATTGAATACAAACCGGGAAGGTTCAATGTCGCAGCAGATGCCCTGTCACGAGCACCCCTACCCCCCCGAAAACCGGATGACACAGCGGAACTCGTCGCTGTTGCTGACGCTGAAGTCTCCTGGGGTCTTTCTGTGAGCCGGGACGAGCTACGAGAAGCCCAGCAAAAAGACGACATGTGCCAAAAGGTATCTCGGTGCTTGACTCAGCCCCATCAAACCGATGGAAACAGGACGTATGGGTCGGTAGACGCATATGTACACAGCGAGGATGGACTCCTCCTTCGCTACATACCGCAGGCAGACGAAGCCGACCCCACAACGTCCCCTTTTCGTGTGGTCGTACCCCGTACATTAAGGCAAACTTTCCTCCGGTATTTTCATGACAGTGCGCTAGCGGGCCACAGTGACGGTCAGAAGACCTACCAGAAACTGTGTCGCGTTGCCACTTGGCCGAGGATGCGCCAGGATGTTCTCCGCTACACACGCAGTTGCCTACGTTGCCAACAAGCCAAACCCAGGGGAGGTAAACCCCCTGGTTTGATGCAGTCAGTGGAAAGTCGTTATCCATGGGAGATTGTTTCATGTGACATAATGGGCCCCTTTCCACGCAGCCCCAAAGGAAACAGGTATCTCCTGGTAGTCACCGACCACTTCTCAAAGTGGGTGGAGCTTCACCCTCTCCGCCAACTGAGTTCCAGGACCATTTGGGACAAATTGAGGGACACCTTCACCCGCTTCGGGTTCTGTTCCCAATTAATTTCCGACAACGCATCCTACTTCACAAGTAAGGTTTTTGAGGACTGTTGCGCAACACTGGGCATCCAGCACAAGTGCACCACTCCTTACCACCCTCAAGCCAACATAGCTGAGAGGGTCAACCGGAACCTCAAAGCAATGCTAGTGGTATACACCGAGAGACACAAAGACTGGGACAATTACATCCCGGAAATGGCTTTCGCCATTCGAACTACGGAGAACCGTACGACAGGGTTCACACCTTCCCAAATAAACTTCGGACGCGAGCTGCGATTTCCCCTCGAGAACAGCTTTTCCGACGATAATCGAAGACCAAACACCTCGTACGCGAGATTCGCTGAACAACTTCGTGATAAAATCACCGACGCTGTGCGAGTGGCTCGACAAAATATTGAGTTAGCGCAGCTCGATCAGAGGAACCAATATGACCAAGGCAGGAGATCCCTAGAATTTTCAATAGGCGACTGCGTTCTCCGGCGCGTGCACCCGCTTAGTAATGCAGCAAAGGGATTCGCGGCATCACTAGCTCCTCGTTGGGAAGGTCCCTTGGAAGTTGTTTCACGGGTATCACATTTGGTGTATAGGTTACGACATGTCGAAGACGGGTCGTTAACTGGACCCGTTAACATTTGTGATCTGAAGCCGTTTGTTTCTAGACATGTCACCCTTTAGGGATGTCCTAAGAAACACAGTCCCCCGTCGATTTTTGCCACACGAAAGATTGTTGCTCATGGTTATTTCTATCCAGGCATGCCACCTCGACGCAGCAACACCCATTCCTTCCGACGCTCTCGGAGCCGCTCCCGATCCCCCCTACGCCCCCAATTCAACCCACGGGGCCACTCGCGCCGCGCCAGGCGACATAACCGCCGTCAGCAACCGCCACGCACTGCCGAGGCTGCCACCTGGTGCGTGATGGAGGCCGGTCGAATGGTCACATTCGCGTCCCGGATGGCCTGGGAACACCAACCTCAAGTGTCACAAGGGACTGCACCAGAAGACGTTCCCCATCCCTTCCGGCGACGGACACTGACGGAGCGCTGTGCTGCAGATCTACCCGCCTCCTACGACGAGGAAGAATATGCCGACATCTGTGAACTTTGCCGCGTCCCACTCATTTCATGCGAACAACATCATCAAGGAGCACTTCACCACGACCGAGAAGACCGCCAGCGGGCGCTGGTGCGAGCTGAATCACGGGCCCTTACACCTGCCGACATCGAGGCCGCCCTCCTTATTGTTGGCCGTGCCTGCCCCGAACGCCTGCGCCGAACACTACCCTTACCACCAGAACTGGCGAACATCAGACTCAGCGACGACGAAATGTAACCAACTGATTAGGAAACTCCCTGCCCCCCCCCCCCCCCCCTGCCAAGAGGGGGATGATGTGGGGATCGAAAAGAAGAAGAATAAAGATGCCTCGTGAGGCAGACCGAACTAGCTCGCGCTCAGGACGAGCGCGGGGTAGAACGGGCGTAGACACCAGTGAAGCGGCTGTCTTTTCTTCAGTCTCCACAATATATATATATATATATATATATATGCATAACCTACCGCCCGTACGTGCTTCACCGTTCTCACCGCGTGCTGGAGAACGGCGTGTTGACACGCAGGTGCCTACAAAAAGTCCAGATTTCCCGGAAGCTGGTGTTGGTGAGCGGAGAGCGGAGTAGCTTGAATTGCACACGCTTAGGCTTAAATCTACTCGGAAGTTCACAGCCATTTCTTATATCTACCGTCTGACACCTTATTTTTCAGAGCGCAGCTCTTTTGGCGCCC